ATATTTACAACATTTTCACATTGTTTCCAAAATCTATTTTGGACACAATAAGATGTTGACAACTGATAGATAGAATCCTCTATTATGTCAGGAAATGCCTTTCTTCCTAACACTGATTGCTAAAAGCCTTTTCATTTCATCAAGTAATAATAATCAGTACTAATGATTGCTTACAGCTTCTGATAAAGGTTAGATGTAACACATTGGAAATGATCTGTTGCCATTGGTATTGATAATACCTTTTGCTCGGTTTGAAAAGCTGAAATACTTGTCTTAGGTTGAACAATTAAATGATAGGACTGTTGTTTTAATATGTTCACAGCCAGCTATTTTAGTGCAAAGATTGATAATTGTTGCTATTGCGATATCAGCATCTGCTGGAATCAAACGTTAACATGTCATCTACCTACCTAATTGTCGCTAATTTTCTTCCTAGAATAGGCTTTATTAAAAAAAAATGATGAAAAATGTCATATCCAAGTATTTTGTAGCTTCAGATTTGACTGGTAATATATCCCATTAGAAAGTATTGGAACAGTTTCTGAATGGCATATCATGCTCTATGAAATGTAATTTTTGGATATTCATATAAGGTGCAAAGTACATATATAATTTCTAAAAGGAATTGATTTCTGTTACATTATACATGGCCAAAGTTGTTACAATCTAATAAACTTGTGAAGTTAGGATTGTGGTGGAGAAAATTCAATATTGAACAATAAAACAGTTTTATTTACAAAAGTACAATGATCTTGTCTATGACTCAATCATTATCATGGTTGTCTTAGTAATAGATATAGTACTGTTCTGCTGGACATGAATCAGAAGTCAACCCATAGATCTTTCGAGTCTTTAATTTTAAGAGCTCTTGTGTTCTTTTGACCCTTTTGGTTTAAAGAGCTCCAAAGCTAGGTTTATTTTGAACATTTATTTTGAAGAGCTCCTTTTGATCTTTATTTAGTTTATCTTCTTGACTGAGTTGAATAATGCATGATATAGCAGAATGTATCAGATGCAGAATTTGGAGAGAAACTCTTTTTACAAAATTTACAATACATATTTTGTATGCATGCTCTTAGCATGGGTCATTTAAAAAGATGACAAGAGTAAGCAGAGGACAATAAGAGCTTAACAGTCCTCATCAATTTAGAATGTTGGTCAAATGATACATTTTAAAGGCATGTTAAGCCATTTCATTCATGAGGTATTAAGATGTCAATGATTTAATTGAGTGAGTATAACACCTTCACTTGAGTAAGTAAGAATAAAGACTGGAGTGATAGGTCACTGAATGGTCAACAAGGTGAACCTTAATAAAGCTGAAAGTGATTTATCTATCTTGTAAATAAAATCAAATATTTTCAAGTTATTACTGATGTACAACAAATTTGATTAGTTTTTGTTTAGGAATTTGAAATATTTTGATAAATTGAAAAGGCTGAAATTTTAGCATATGATAATTAATAAATTTACATAGAGATATTTGAACAGTGGCATTTAGGTGGGTATTATTCACCTTACTGCTTTCAAGTATCAATCATTTTGTTTGTGCAGAAATTTATGGAGAAATTTGACAAAATATGTTAAGGACATACATACATAAAATAAAACATAGTCGAAGATGAAATTTTTAACGCTTAAATATACAATGGTGTAACCTATTTTCGTGGATATAAGGATTCAACACTGAATTTCGTCAAAGTTAAAAAAATCAAAAAAAAATGAGATGTTTCCTCAGATATTCTACAAAATAATTAAAATTGGTTTATTTCGATTTTCTTTATGAATCCTTCACTTTGACCCATATTTCATAAGCAACCAACTCGGCAATGGCGGCAGAATGCGTCACCCATTTTCGTGTACAATGTTTGATCTATAAAAAAGTCTAGAAAAACACGTTGTATGGATACCGTTGTAGGGATACCGGGTGGTATAATTAACTTCTCTTAGTATTTATCTTTGATATCAATTCATTATAACTAGTGTCAATTCCTTCAAAGAAAAACGATTTAAAAAAAAAATAGTTACTGACAAAATAAGACACATAGCGTGATTTATTGCTAAAAGTCACTGAAACAACATAAGAATACGGTCCACTTTGTGTTCCATAGAAATTTTCTGCTGACACGGAATCCGCTAGTTGATCACGTGACTTCATTCGTTGGAATATATTCTAGCAGACGACACTTGGAATTCCGATTACCGCTTGGGATTATAAGGAAATTCGGCCGATAAAAAATTGTGACGTTTGGTAATAAGTGAAATCCGCCATTTTGTATTTGTAAAGTATACATTGTTACATTTTACCTTGCTTGAAACTACTGGATTCATTCTACTAGCTGATATTGTAGAGAAAACCCATGTTTATCAAAACAAACTAATGCGGAGGTCGCGCAAGGTCGCTCATGTAAATTATTAATCCTTTCCGGAAATCCACGAATAATAGGTTTCCACGAAATTAGGTTACTTGACTGTATTTCACAAGTGTTTTATTATTTGTTAATATATAGAATTTATTCCTGTTTAAAATACCTGCCCACTGGTCAGTGTCCAGCTGACGTCATGCCAACAATAACATGTCATGGTCAATATTGACAGGAGATGGACATACCATGTAGATTAAGTTAATCTGTGGACATTCATTGATTTACTGTCTGACTGGGATGAGCCAATAGTAATATACAGGACTGAATACCATTAATATGTATATCTTCATATTAGTATTTTTTAAAATACAAATTTAATGGTGAATGAGATTTATTACTAGTTATAAAATGATTGACTGGGTTGGGATTATTAAGATGTGATATACTGCTATAGATATGAATTTACCTTTTAAAGGAGGACACATCGTGTATGAATTTAGATGCATACACCACATTTATGATGTAAATACTGATGTCTATATTTAGTGTAAAACAGTAAAATAAGTATTTTCACATGAATTAATCTGAAAATTTAAAGATGCTAGAAAATTAAGATATCTGAATAAAGTCATCAGGTATTCCAGAAGGGTGAGCATCCCCAACCTCGCATAACCTCAGATATTGTTAATTTAATCAAACGCACAAAATTTAATAAAATTCTGACATAAACTGTCACCTGTCAATGGCAATAACTAAAACTCCATTAATGGAAAAATCGTCAAATTCATACTTGACCAAGATTTCATCATTATAAATGATCACATCAAATTTCATTTAAATAAGATAAAAAACTGTAGTCTTTATTGTGTTCACAATTTTGACACGTTTTTCCTAAGTCAAGGGCAATTACTCAAAAAACAGTCATCGAAAGCTCGAATAATTTGAAATTTGAAAAAGTATATTTAATTTCATGGGCATGGAAGCATGAACTATTTCCAGTAATAAAAGTTATACCTTACTAGACTAGAGAGGTGTGATTTATCTGTAATATTAATATTAAAGTTTATTTTAGTACTTTATAATACTTATATTATAAAACTACTTGATATTTATACAGTCATGATAATATTTTATGTCTGGTCAGGATAATTTGAAAAAATTTATATGAACATTCAAATTATTTACCAGTAATCCACATTGGTCCCTGATGTCTGAGTTACTGGCTTTTGTAGCTTTTTGTGTGATGATATTCCAAGAACTAGGTCTTCAGTATTCACAGCACCATGAGAAGGAAAGATCACTGTGGTGAACTGCCTCACATATTTCAGACCTGTACTTTCCCCACATGTGAGAGAATGATCTTAACATTAATCAAGTCTATAGATTTTGGTGTATTGAAATGAAATCAAGATTTTGTTATCTGCTTAACAGTTGTTGGCAAGGCTACTTATATGTTGTCACCCAAAATTAGTAGAATTTGCTCATATGATTTGATTTAACTTGATTGAAAATGCTCACCACTGTTTACTAAAGTTCAAAAGTTTGTTTACCAACAGAAATGTTATGAAATTTGTATCTTGGACAGTGAGAATGAAATGGTTTGAGTTGGGTAGTTGAGTGTTTGACTTCAAAATATAAAATGGTATTTTGATCATAAATTATTGTGTTTATCTCCTGTTAAGTCTGTCAAGTAAAGGCTCTGACAGATTTTGTATTGTGTAAAATGTGGATATGGAGTATGAATATATTGGAAGCTCTGACATTGCCCTTGATGATCTATGACATTGGTTTCAACATGACATTGTAACAAATAAGAGTTTGCTATTTCTTTGTTGAAATATATTACATTATTCAAGTGACCCCAGTATATGTTAATATAAAATATGACATACCTTTTAACAAATCAAACAAAACCTTACATATATTTTAATAGGTATGATAGGGTTATTTTAAAGGAGCTATTTCTTGTAACTGTAATCACATGCATATCAAAAAAATAAATTGATATGATTAAACTATATTTGAATGATAGAATGACAACATCCATGCATGAGCTGTACATTGTTCTTTTTGTTCATATCTAGTATTGGCAGATATTTGATAAATAAATTTATTTTTTAATTATGGTCCTTAAAGTTTTTTTTATAAAACCCAACGAAGGAACTGTTTCTTTAAAATATTTAACTTCTCGAGGTATTCATTTCTATATCTATACTTATTAAACAAGATAAAAGACACACTTAAAGTCTTAATAATGTATGACTAAGAAATATTTTGACATTAAAGTGGCAAATCTGTAATGTATTATACATTTAGTCATATTGATCAATATCTTTAACAACAAAACATCAATTAAAATACTGCAAAACATTGTCATACACATAACAATAGTAAATACATACTCAGCCCATCATCGACACAATACAAACACTGGTAGAGGAATCAGAAATTTACAATCATGGTATTGGTTACTCTGGCACATGATACTGTCTGAGCTTACTTATTACGTAATCAATGAAAACAACTGTTTGACTGTTCTTATTGCCTTGAGATGACTCTTTGTAGTTCCCTGAATTTGGAGAGCTTGATGTATTTGGGAAAATAGTTAAATTGTGTTATTTTCTATATTTTCAGGTTCGTCTATTAGTAGGATATTGTACATGTCCCATACAGTTTGCTATGGTTAAAGTTGGTGATGGAAAATATCAAGTTGGCGAATCCAAGACACTGATATTTGTTAGGGTAAGCTACTGTAGATCAGTTTTGTGGCAGTTTTACTACCTGTGTCTTATCCAATTTGGAAGAAAAAACACAACCTGAAGATATTGGAATCACTAATCTTTCTGGGCATATTGAAATAAGATTTTGTTAAACTTTTTGCCTTGAGAACATTTTCTTATTGCGAACGCTTTGTTGTAAAAAACTGTTACCTGCCAAATCAGTTTCTCAGATAATAGATGGGAAATAACTCCATTTATACATTTATTCTTAACTGAGATATTTTGTATTTGACAGATATTACGAAAACATGTAATGGTGCGTGTAGGAGGAGGCTGGGATACATTAGAAAGATATTTAGACAAACATGATCCTTGTAGATGTAATGGTAGGTTTATTGATTTCTTTATCAAGCCGTTTAGGTTCAATGTCCCTCAAAGAAATACACTGATACCACCAATTTCAAGGAGAATGCAATAAGATTTTAGGATTTTCTTTTGTAGTAAGATTTTGTAGAATCTAGAATTTGATCTTTTTTCAGGTAATTTATTTTTGTTTTCTCTGACTGCAAATATTAACCTTAGAGTCTGCTGCAGTAGATGTATTGGATCAGACTGAGTTTCAAGTGTTTGTCATCTTTTTTATTTCAGTACATAGAGGATCAGGTCAAAATGGAATCAGTGCTAGTCAGAAAATACCTCCTCGAAGGATGAGTGCACCAAATGGCAGTGTTCCATCACCTGTAAATACCCCAAGACGTATGTCGTCAACAAACTCTTCAGTAAATAGTAGATCCCAGAGTGCTAGCTCTGGTAGAAAATCTCCAGGACCTGGATACCGCAGTAAATCTCCAAGTCCTGGTGTTCAGAGAGTGCCTCAATTATCAACGATTCCACAACATGAAGAAACATCCCAAGATAGTCCAAGATCTCAACTCTCCCGTCGAAGTCTTTCACCTACTCCCACCAGAAGTCATTCTCCTGGTCCAAGATCAATTCCAACACCGGTCAAATCAAGAACATTACCACAGCCCCCTGGACAAAGAACTATAATGGCTCGAAGACCTTCAGCTGGGACTGTGTCACCATCTCCGAACAAGGCAAATTCTAACACCACAAGGTACTGTAAAAATGTTATATTCATCTGAATAGCAAGCCTGGATTCTGTTTCAATTTTTTTTTAAATTGATTAGGCACATCTGTATCTCTTCTTGAATTTGTTGACTCATGGTAAAACTCATCAAAAATTTCAGTAATAATCAAATTTAGCAAATCAATTTGGAGCAATGAGGCCAGACAAAATAAAGGAAAGCATAAATTATGCATCTTCAGGTCAAAGTTCAAAACTACCGCTAAACGTAATTTAAGAAAAAGATCTACAATAGATACTGTATGAAATATATATGGAGCTGTATACTAATCAGATTAATGACGTAATTCTTATAACTGAAATGATTAGTCTTTCAATTAAAACATAAGATTATTAAATAATTGCTTGCCATTCCTTTGTTTTTTTAATTATGAAAATATATAATCTCCTTTGACTGTACCATAGACCACCCTAAACAAATATCAAATTAATCTTTACTTGAGTAATTTCTTTTATCTGATATATTCTTCACCTTTGTTAATATTGAACATGTCTTAACATATACTGTATATTTACCGTGGTATATGACTCTTATAATGCCCACTTGATATTGAGGCTACCATGCAATACAGTTCAATTGACAACACTTTATGTGACATTACTGTTCAATACCTGATTATTACCTGACATATTTTGTCTGTGAATACAAAAGGATATGAAAAAGTCTTTTGATTTTGGATTTTAAAATGGTATATAATTTAGTTTATTTTCAATACACCTTTGTGTATGGTATATTTTTAATACTTTCTATTTGTGTTGATAGCGAGTATTTGTTTGATAATGTGAAATGTGTTTACTTTCAATAGTGATAATAAAACTGGATATAGATTATACATACAGTCACTGTATTTGACAGTTTTAATATATGCATTCCCAGACAATAACCATCTAAATTATGGAGTAAGATTATGATGCAAAGCTGAAAGTTTGTTCTGGAATCTGGAATGTTGCTTAAATTAAATAGACATTCCTCAGTCAATAAAAGTTGATAGAGGTTCAAAACTTTAAAGACTTTTTGATAGATGGAAATTGTAAAAGGAACTGGCAAAATTAATTTCATTGCATACTTCATGATCTCCAGTTAACAGTGTATGAATTAATCGAACATAAAAAGGTGTGAAAACATTGTAGGATAAATTAGTAGGTTCAGGGTCATAGGGTTGCATTTTTCAATTTTAAACACAAGACCTTAATGTCATCTGATTTGCACTCAGCATGGATTTTATCTCTTAGTTTTATATCAGAAAGACCAAAATAGTATATTTCACTTCATTAATGATATCAATCCAAAGGTGCAGACACAACAACGATCTTGGTGGGCGAATTTTGTCGCCGACTAGAGTTTTGTCAAGAGTTTAACCGACCCTCGCACAAGCGGAGACAAACATCTCAAGGTGGTCGTTTTCCACTATGTACTATTGATAGGGAAATGAATCTTTGGCTGATGACGTTCTGTCTTGCAGACGATAAAATTATCGGAGACAATCATCAAACAATCTTGTGAAAGCACAGGCACAACAATTGGCAACCAAGACTGTTAGTGTGCATGCAACCTAATCTTCCTACTCATTTTTTGATACCCGAATTTGAAGGCAATTTTTCAATTGAAATTCTGGTTTTGATGTTTTAAACTTTGAACAAGTGTTGCGGAACAATTTTGTCAATTCATAGATGGAAGATGCATCACCCAAATAATAAAACACCCAAATGTAATGTGTAGATCTGTACGCGACTCCATTTCAGTCAAGTTATTTCATTTACTTCAATTTTATTTATACAGTAATCTAAGAGATAAAGAATATCAACTATTTCTGTTATGATATTTGGAACTGATTGATATAGAATATAAAGATTGTTATTGTTCAGATAATCTTATATCATATAACATGGTCACACTTGATCTAATATTTTAAAGATCTCTGACAGGTTTTGAATAAATTAAATCATAAAAGATCAAATGGAGTAGAGCAAGACATAATCTCTGGATTATATTTTAACTTCAGGTAGTAAGATCAAATTGCAAATTTTTAATAAACTGGATTTGTTTGAGCAAACATGGACAGATATCAGAACATTTAGGATAGTATATTACAAAACTAATATGACTGCCACGAACCTTGGTTGCTTAAATGCATGGTTGCAAAAAAGTGCAGACACATAACATTCATTTGTGGAGAATCAGTTCTTATTCTATTTGTTTAATTTCAAAGAAAAGTGTCAGGTTCCACAAATATTTTTATACAACTATAATTTGTTATGTTAATACTATACAGTTGTTTCAGTTATATGGTTGCTGCTTGCAGGTTTTGTGTTTGTGGAAGACCATTTCTCCTTGGAATTCTATTGTTTTCGTTGGGATTTCCAAGAATGTTCCTTCTCATAACATGTCTTTCATCCTTGACTATGGGGATGTCAACCAAAGTTATTTCTGCTCATCTGGGTCCAAATTCAAATGTAAACATTTAGTTTCAGTAGTAATCAACAGTAGTAAGTCTAGCCTATATAGATTCTGTTACAATCTATTCTACCTACAATTAAAGTGGACTCACTATTTTTAAATTTTGAATTGGACCTGGATGAGCAGAAATATCTTTGCTGGACTATATACTCATCCTTTAAAAGGAGCAGCTCATTTTTGTTCATCTGTAGTAGAATCAGAAGTAAGATTTGGCATCAGGTTCGTCTGCAATTAAATAAAACCATACCATGACTATTGTCAGATTCTAGCATATTTCTAATCATTTTCTTTAATCAAAACAGCAGTAAATTGTATGGTAACTATGTAGTAATATAAGTAAATATTTAACTTTAGTAATATAGATAAATAGGTAATCTTTGTTATATTCAATTAAGATATTTATAAATTGTCCATTGGTTAATTAGGGTTATTTAGCAAGACTTTCATTAAAGTTATTGCATTGAAATCGAATGCTTATTAACATAAGGTTGCATGGTTCTATCCCTATAAATACCGGCTTTGTGTGCTGTAGGCTGTACACATTTAAGATTCTATGATCTTTGGAAATGTACTGTAAACAAAGAGTAGACTAATGCAGCTTTCCTAGCACTTTCCTGTGATGCATTGCCTCGTTTTCAACCCAATCAGAGTGAAAAGTAGGACCTAGTGACCAATCCTTACTATAATTGCAATTTATATATAATCCTATTAATCTTTCTTAATCCATTGTGAGAAATGAGATAATCCTTTCAGTCATATATGTTTTGGATAGTAAGGTGTAGGTGTGAAATGTTAGTTCTCTAGGTAGCTCTTGAATCATGGTGAGGTTTCAATATATAGCTTGGGACTGCCACAGTTTTTAGTCTTGGCATAACCTCTTTTCAAAGTGATGTAGGGTGGTCAATTTGTATATTTCATTGGTGTCTTTATTAGACATTTGGAATTCATTCTTGCACTAGAATTTTTAGTTAGTTAGTTTTTATGCATGTTTTAAAGGCTAGTGCATCACTGCAAATGTTTAAATTCTTTTGAGTTTGACTCCTATTTAATCATTATTATTAATGTTATTCTGAAATTCTTCCTGATAACCATTCACTAATTTTTGTAATTTCAGGTCTTCAACTCCTAGAGGAATCCTAAACAAGACTCCAAGAAGACAAACATCTATCGATTCTCAGGAATCGGACAATATGGAGACGGAAAATGGTGATAAAGTGTCTCTGGATGAAATTAAAACAATGACTCTGGAAGATTTTAAAAATCTTCTCAATTCTAATCTGGCACCTAATGGGGCCCTACCACAAAGTTCAGAGTCACCTAGATCCCAGGAAAGTGCTGATAGCTTCAGAAATCAAACAAAATCCTTTGTCCGTCATGGAAAAGACTCTGAAAAGGGACCCTCATGGAAGAGTGTTCGCGAAAAGACAAAGAATGTGTGTGATTCAGTGACAACAAGGAATTACCAAAGAAATGTGAGCAATAATCGTGATACTACAGACTCTCATTATAATGAAAACTCTAGGCCCAAAACTCCTACCTCAAACTGGAGGCCCAAAACACCAACATCAGGCATAAAATCTGTGTATGCCCACTCCAAAACTCCAACTAGTCGTCCCAAAACACCATCAAGAGAGAATAGCAATTCTAGTAGTTCCCGTCCATCTCCTGCAAGATCCAATGAAGAGGATTTATCCAATAGATATGTCAGATCGAGAACACCTTCTAAAGCTTCATCATTTTCAAGCTTAGATGATGATGAGTCTTCAGAATTAGCTTTTATTAATAGTTGTGCAGCTTCTAGGAGTTCCAAAGAATCCTCTCCAGCTGAAAGCATTGAGAAGCTGATGATGCCAGTTGACTTGAGATCAAGAACCCCTGGAATGTCTGGTATTCCACGAGCATCAACACCTTCAGGAATACCAAAAGCAGTTTCTGCTTCAAACTCTAAGCCTTCTACTCCAAAGATGGTTAGGAAGAAAAGTCTGACAGATACATCAATTTCTGGGCAAAATAGTGGCACCATATCAAGACCTCCTGGAATGAGTGAAAGAACATATAGTTCCATTTATCAGGCTAGGAAATCAAAAACTCCTGGTCCGACTTCAGAGAAGTCCCAGATTCCAGGTCCAAATAGATCAATTACACCTGGTCCAAGAGAAGGTTGGAATAAATCACAATTACCTAGACAAAATAGTAATGATGGTGAAAGGAGAAATAGTAGAGTTTCTAGGAGTCTGGATTTTTCAAGACAAAGATCGAAAAGTGTTGTTGATATAAGCAACAATGATGATTCTGAGGAACAATGCACTACACCAACAAATGGAGATGTCACATCGGAGGATTCCAGATCCAGGTTGAAAAGCAAGATCATTGCTATGAGTGAGAAAAGAAGGCGGTCAACTAGTTCTGGACCAAAGGCTTTTTCAAAAACAGAGTCGGGAGAGGAGAATCAGCTATTGATGATCACAAGAGGCAAAGGTGGTGGTCATTCTGTTACTGTTGAAAATAAGGGTGCCACTACCTATCAGTCCAATAAAACTTCCACACCTAAATCTTACTTAGCTAATGGACATGCAGAAAAATCTAGACAAAGGTCAAAGACTCCTGATCCTGGCATGTACAATGGTAGGACTAGACTCATTGATCCCAAGTTATCTGCTAGGCGTAATTCCAGTGGAACATCAGCAGTTGATAAACGACTAGAAGCATGGGTGGACTCAACTGTGAGCCAAACAAAAAGAAAAATACCATTTAGGTCTAAACACTCTATGACACCCAATTCTGTTGAGTTCACAGATGAAGACTTGGCTCCTAGGCCAATGGAAGAGATCAAAGCTGCTCTTGAAAAACCAATGAATGGTGTTGTTAGACCTGTGGAAGAATTACCTCCCCCACCAGAGGATCCAGAAATGTTTATGAAAATGGAGAAGTTGTTTGCTAAATATCGTGAAATGGAACTACAAACATCAGATAATCAAACACCAGAAATGTGTTCATTGGATGTTGATGTGGATGCTGGTGATGAAATGGGAACAAATGAATCCACAAGCGTTTCTTTCAAATCTAATTCCTCACCTTCTGCACAATCTTATAATTATTCTTGGACAAATTCTGGAAGTTCACGATCAAGTGGTTCACCAGCACCAGCTGCATCAAGTCTTAAAGTTGGACCTATGACAAGTAAAAGTTCGTCTGCAACCAGTTCTGGTAATCCAGCACAAGTTGAACACAGTGATCTGAGTTCTAGTGCGGCTCTGGTTTCCAAAATGAAAGAGGTTTTAAAAGTCAGACCCAGAAATGAACCCAAATCTGGTCAAAGAACAAGGATTCCTGCACCTTCTTTCAAGGCACGTCCAAGTCAGCGTTCAAAATCCGTTACTGATCTGAATACAAGCTGTGATTTTACATTATCCAATGACTCAAAAACTGAATTTGACAGTGCATATGAAAACTCAGTTCATGACAACTCAGAACATTCAGATGAAATCTCAGAATTGTCTCAATTGACTACCAAATTTTGTGAAGATTCTGCATTTGATCTGTCAAGATCTGAAACACCTGTTCCAAAACTTGCAACTCCCTTGACAACTGGTAGAAGTACTGTGATCAGCACCAACAATAACAATTCCACCTCGAGATTGGTGCGAGGCACATCTCAAGAACCTGTTGATCACAGCAGATCCAATTCTTTGTCTTCATTATCCAGTCGCTTATCATTGTCTAATGCTGATGATATGGAGTATGTGTAATATAACTTGATAATCTAATTATGTGCTATTATTGATATATATATATTTAAGGAAATGGAATCAGATATTTATATAGTGGGACATTACTGCTTTGATTTGATATGCTTTCATAGAAATTATTGTTCCTTAGTTGGCTTTTGAGAAGACTGTTGAAAGGTGAATGAAGAAATGAATTTAATAATTATACTTGGTTAAATACTGCTTGGGCTACTTTTTATAGTCACATATTTTTCATCCATCCAACCAAATGTGAGATTTTGTTGTCTGATTCTGAATAGCTGATCTGTATGCATTTTCTGTTTTTTTGAGATTTTTTTGTCCGTCCATTCAATAGATATTGAGTTTAAAGACCTACTGAAGGTGAAATGGTATGCTAATTTAGGGTAACTAAAATTGTGTGACAAACTTATTAAATGTTCAAGACCCAAATGAAGAAATTTGATTGTCTAACTTAAGAATTCAATCAAGCATGGCAAATCGTTAATGGCATTTGGGTGATTTCAAAATGTTTTTTTCATTTGATTGAATACATGTCCTGTCCTTAGAGCAGGGTTTGATAAATAAGACTTGAATCAAAATATGACACAGATCTTCTAGACCTTTGTATCAGTATGTGCTTCCTTTGTTTTCTTTGTGAATTCACTCATCCTTAATGTTACCATTGATTGTCTCTTTCATGGATTGGGTTCTTTCCTCTATTATGATATTATTATTAGTTGAAATATATGTTATATTATTCTATTCAATATCATTGATAGCAATAATGATTGTATGTTAAGGGAATTGTTTCTTGAAACTAGGAGCTAAAATGAGCTGGAGTTTGGATGTTAGGAACTGATATTCAATCATTTTTCGACCACTAAAATTTTAACTAATAAAAAAAATTCATTAGATGACTCCACAAATAATTCAGAAAATTTAGTGAATTCTCCTAGGGTCATGCCCCTTGAAAGCATAATTTTCTAAATTTAACAGATTCTTGTTGCAAAAATTAACAAAAAAATCATTGGATCTTATAATTTGTTTGAAATCCAGAATATTATCAAGAATTATATCTCTATGCATATGAAACAATCTCCTTGTAATACATGTATCATGAATGAATATAATTTAAATATTACTGCATTTACTAACACAGAAGATTATACAAGGGTAGACAACTGCTGCAAACTTTACTTTTTAATTGCCTCCCTTTGTGCTGTATACAACCATTCCAAATACTTGCTAACTGTGATGTTTATTTATTGTCAAAGATACTAAAAACAAGTGTATATTTTGACAGAAATAATATATTTTGAAAATCAATTTGGAGTTCTTTATTCCTGAGAATAGTTGTCAAATTAAATGTATGTTTGTGGACATCAGGACAATCCGCTTAACCATCACATTTCCTGGTTTGTGTCGAGTATTAAACTTCTCCATGAAGCACTGATCAGTCAGTTGGGTTGTGTCAGCTTATACTGGCAAGGTACAAATCTTGTTTCAGTGCATCCTTGAGGAAAAGTTCAAAGAAAAGTGTCAAGAATAAAACTCAAATGAAATGAATTTAATTTATTTACATGGATCTTGTTATCATATATAGTATACAACGAATATCACACTAGGATATAAATTAGAATAGGATACTTCTTAAGGACAGGTGTATCCCGGAGGTGGTGTACAGCTTAAACCAGCATACAGTTGAGCCACTATTACACATGCCCCGGCTGTATTACCAGAACAGTATAGATTTAAACAATTTCTATATGCCCCATAAACAGCTGTTGATGGTAATGATGCTGTAGTAGCACATTGTAGAAACACTTCGTTAGGGAAGATCGCTCCACAACCATTCTGGACACTCGTTGCTCTTGCTAGTTGAGCATCCGAGGCGCAATTTGGAAGAGCAACACTCGCTTTGAGGTTCGTACAAATGGACCCCTCTGGAGTCGCACTGAAATTTTCAAAAAAAACTTCTTACATCAATTGAAATTGAACATAGCAAAACATTATCATACCATATAAATAGTTGTTATTCAAAGGTTGAAATATCTTGCCCAAACTTACCAGGATGTAGGTGGCTCTCTGTTTTCGACATAGTTATGACCTTTAATTTCCATTAAGGACATCAACAGCTTTTTGTGATTGGAGGGACCGTTTGAAAAGACTAGACCAAAAATGTGGTTCAATTGAATAAAGCTATTTCATCATGCCATAGCCCGATGAGCGGTTATTGTCAACAGCTTTTAAGAAATCGTTTGTACAAGTAAGAGCACACAAGCCTACTTTAAAGTTAGTTGATCAGACGTGTTAGAAAATAGTTTACTTACGCTTGTTGATTAGCAAGGTTTCTCAAAGAAAAGGCAATATCTCTTTCTTGTCTAGTGGGTTGGGCAGCAAATATTGGAGGAATGTCGTTTCTCATACCATCACAATTTCCACAAAGATTGGGCAGAAAACCACTTCCTACTTTAGGAGCAGATATTGCTGTAGCACCAAAGGGTTTAAAGTTGGCTTTGGTTAAACACTGAGGGATGTCTATGGACACGGTTCCTGGTACAGAAGTGTCGGTAACAATAATATTACTGGCATTAGACTGAAATAAAGTAACAACATTGAAACAAGTCCTGATCAACTGATTAACAATCATTATGTGGAGGGGCTACAGACAAAGGGACAAAAAGCATCAAGTATTTATGAACAATGTGATTTAAAGCTTGGCAAGGGTTGGGGCAGCCTTTACTTCTGCGGCGTGCACTCCCCTTGACCCCCTCGTAGAAACACCACAGTTGATTAACCATGACATAAATTTCCAACAAGGCTTTTCTTAGATACAATACCAACTAGGGACTTATGATCATCCTTAAAGTAATGTCCGAAGTCTTACCTGAACTCCAGCACCCGAAAGATACACTGTTTGACTAACACCACCCAATAATACAGTAATTGCTGTCCTCGACACAAACGACTTATAGGGTTCGCCTGGTCTCTCCATCGTTTCAACCACTGCAGTTATAAGACACCCTCCTGCTGTTGCATATATGGAATATACGTAGTTACAAGGCAGTAGCTGAGTTGTAGCCCTGTTCATAGTATCATACTGGATTGTATGTGGATCACCATATGCTGCACAGACACATCTTGTTGCTGCAAAGCAAAATGAAGGATTGCATTAAACGGGTAATATTATATTGGAACATTAAAACGTGATGGTTTCTAAGATTAACCTACCCTTCATGAACAAGTAAAAGATATTGTAAAATATCCGTCGATTTGGAAGTCTTAAACGTTTGGTTTGGGAGTACACTAGACAAAGTAAATAAAGGAATAGGATATACCTGTAGGTTCACACAAGAATCTTCCTTCACCAGTGAAACCAGGATCACATCTACATTCATTGTCCACACATGATGCATTGGGTACGCATACTGCACCTTGGCATGGTTGACCTGAAAGTAAGAAAGTTTTTAAAAAAAAAAATTAAAAAAAAATTCGGTCAACTACCAACTGAGCCTTAGATCTTTGATATTGATTCAACTGATCGATATTTTTTATGAGGGACCTAGACAGTCTGGAATAGATTTCGATAACTCGTCACATTGGATAAAATAGTGCAGGTAATAACACCTCACAAATCGGACATCTAAAAGTACGTCCAATAGCCGTGGTAAAGGACAAAACTTGATCATTGTGAAGATGGTATTAGCAATGACGTGAAGAAATGGACAACATTTTAAAGCAACGATAACAAAAAATTGTTCTTATGTGCAAAGACACCCATGAAAACAAATTAAAGAAAGGATTACCTCGCACTCTATTGTAGTTAATCAGAACGATGCCAATACCAAACAAAGATATCCATATTCGCATGTTGAAACACAGCGACTGCTAGACTCCTACAACATCTAGGCAGCTCGACCAATAGATATAGGTTCGTACCTCAATCCAAATAATCCGTAAACAAATCCTTTGATCTCATGATGTTTTAAATCTAATATTGCATGCTGAGTTGAAAATCCCCAGTTCACACAACCCAGATGTGAACAGAAGGCTGTTACCTTTCAACCACTGCTAAAATTTATGAATAGGACGGATTCAATGATAATGTTTGTGTACCATAAGGTTAGGTTACTTGTTGCTTCTTAGGGGCAATAATGGAGAGTTTCCATTAAGTACTAAAAAAAACCCAAAAAACAAATAAAGATTTTTAGTATTTGATCAGACATTTTAAATTACATTAAATCCCCTCCGATGGTTCCAACACCCACACAATGTCATACGGACGTAACTTATCTTTGGAAAAATTTGGAAAAGTATTATTTGCATCCGTGTATATTGTGCTTTTTGTACAAAATATGCAGTCTTAAAGTGCCATCTTTTTTTTATCTCGCCTTAGAATAGGATCTAATTTGCGAATTCAGACAATCGAAAATATAAATTATGGATATATAACATAATAGTTTTAATATCTGGAGTCTGTGTCAAAAAACCTGAATTTTAGCCCACTCATTGAGCCTTTGAAAGAACTCTATGCTGTTAAATTAAAATTAGTAACTGTGGATCTGCTGGTAAAAATAACATCATGTTCATAAACAATCACAATACATCCGATAGCAGCAGCTAAACAGACCAGAGATGCCCAAATATTCAATCTGTAGAGTGTGTTACCAATACCGAGGAACATGAAATTCAGAAACCACACTCCAGTTATAAACTTGATGATAATGTCTAACACTGCCCACTGTTTCTCGTTACCCCACACATTCAGTTCCACATCACTCATATGGAGGAAAAAGGTGAAAAACAAAACGACAAGCACAATGATGACGACGTTAACTACGACCAAGATATGGGCAGGGGTAAAACTTCTTAAATTAGTCCTGACTTCATCCACCAGCAGAAGTAAACCATCTTCTAGTTTACCATTGTTTACATTTTCCAGAAAACTTGAATGCAGTGCAGCTAATTTTGATTCTGATAGGAAACTTGATGCTTTGGATCCTACTGATGTGTACACCTGGAATAATTAAAAATACGAATGAATCTGCTGCAGATTTAGATTCTTAATATATAAGTCACTGATCAATCCTATTTTCGTAATGGATCCTATCGAGCTGCAGATTCAATTTAGAGTACAAACTGATGAGCCACCAGCAGCAGCTGATAAAACGTAATTTCAGCTACGCATATAATTTTTTTTTAGATCTCTTTGGTATTCCACCAAAAAGGGATCCAAAACAACTCATGTTAGAATCGGTTGGGTTATTTGGAAGGACTATAATTTCCTTTTACTTTGTTGAAGTGTTTGCTGTAGAAGATCACCACATCGTTATCACAAGCACCCAGTGCCCAGGAAACTCGAAGACTGTCAGCAAAGTTGGTCACCATCTTATCAACTTCTCCTTCTGTTGGTTGCCTAACTGTGGTATTTAACGTTGGTTGTATCTCATTACAATCATTGATACAACTGGAAAGATGAAAGTGTATGTTTATTTATTTGCAGATATAGTCTAGAAATGTGATAGCTAAGCTCTTTCAAAGCGGTGGAAGCTTCATTTCAGATTGGCTGGAAATAAATTTCATGGAACTGGAAATGAAGAAATGATTAAAAACGGAAAAAAAATAGCAGAGATTCAAAATTGTGGAGATCTAATGCCCCATTCTGACTTTCCATAATCCGTAAGCATGACAGAATCGCCTCCATATCCGCACGGTTATTCCCAAGGATTTGTTTTTTTGGGCATCTGTTACATAAAATGATAGTTATGAAATCGACCAAAGATTAAGATATATAGTGAGTTGTTTTACGTTGTAAGTCACTAAGATACCATCATACCTACTAGCATCCTGTAAGTCGGCTATTCTCATCTCATCTATCAAAGCTATACTAACAATATAACTCTGCCTCTGTTTCTCAGTACTATCACATAATGTGGATGTGTTCTTTTGGATTGCTATCAACTGTTGGTTGATCTGAATCATGGCTGAAATAGGACAAGTGAGCTAATTTGAGTGTCAATTAACTAGAACAAACGGCTATTATGTGAATACATATTTTTCAAGATAAAAAAAACTAGAACAAACTGCAACACTACAGTGGTATCTATCAGTATTTCTAGGATTATATACGACACTTTTCCATTGAGTTAGTTGAAAATTGTTTGGGGTTAACTTGATCACTGGATTGAGTAGAATTGTTTTCTGCTGAGCGATAAGTGGCAAGAAAAGGACAATTTTGAAAATTTCCAAAAATTAGCTGAGATCAATGTAAAGATCACCTTCTTGGTCCCCTCATTGTGAACTTATGGTTACAGGTTACATATAGCTTACCATTGTTTGAGGATGATATAATGCCATCAGGATCACAGATGTAACCCGGTCGAGAAGTATCTACTGGGAAACCACATCTTGAACTGTCTGCTGTAGGATTTGGAAATTTACAATGAGACCATATTCTCTTCTTGGAAACTGGATCCACACTGTATGTATAGCCTTTGAAATCTAGCCATGTATCTGAACATCTTTGAAGACCAATTGAAATATCAGTTAGAGTGACTAGTAAGATCATCAGTTTTCGCATCATGCTACGATAAGAAATGGCATAATATACATATAAGGTGAGGTTTGATTGAAGCTTGGTATTTTTTTTTTTACTGATGATGTATGTTGATTGTCAAGAATCGGATTTTTCAGAGGAGATTTTCAATACATGTTTATCCTGGTGCACCCGATTCGACCATTGGTACCTATCCCCTAATACTATCACATAATTGTATCCTTTTTAGGTGACCCCCCATGACAAGTTTGAAACGAAACAAGAAATTCAAGTCTCGTCTGAAGTGGTTTTCAACTTTCTTTCTTGATTCTGTAGCTTTACTGTCTAAAGTTTCATCGTTATCTTTACACCCTTTTCAAAGTTGCTATATTTGGTATACAAATGTATGTTTATTTCTAAAGATTGTGTTAGATTATCAGAGTAAAGGCGATTATATTACATGTATCATAAACTAAATATTGACATTAAGAGATTGTTAAATGTTCTTTAAATGGAAGGTTCGCCTATAGGACATTCACAGTCTCTGAGGCATATAAAGTCTTTAAACTTTTACCGGAAATTACGTCTGTTAACTCAGACTTATTACTTTTCCCTAGTTCAGCCCTATAGAATGTGGCCAAGAGTATTTAGACCTCTTCAAAGTCTCATAGAAATGTCATTGGGAATGGAATGGTGCAAAGAAATTAATGTTAATGTCCTCGAAGACCAACAGATCACACCCTATCGAAGATTTATTCATATTTTTAAGGGAGAGGGGGGAGGGGGTGGTAGATAACGGAATCTGAAATTAAACAAACCTGCAAGTAACCTTACTGGTTGTTAATCAATTGGAAAATTCCTAATGTATTCCAAAAATGTCGCAATCATTTCCAATCAATATATCACTAGTCACGTCTCCCGCCTCACAGTTGAATAATTTTCAATTATTTTCAGGAACTAATTTCACGTAACAAACTTCAAAGACACTGGATATTAAATACACCACGAGAATATTTCACGATAATATAGGCCTAATAGAAATAAAAAGTTTGTATATAATGGTTGCTAAGGTTGTGTCAGTGTTTTTACTCTATTCAATTGATTTAATATTATCAGTCGAGTTGACAAACAATAACTTCTTTATAGTACCACCCTTCTTATTAAATTATGGATTTCTTGGGATTGTATTTCATTACACGGATATAGATTGTTGTTCGTTTCAATTTATTGCTATCTATACATTGATTATGACTTTGCGTTTTGTTTTTTATTTCAGATAGAGAAGGACTGCTTTCGATTTATTTTTTTATATAATTCCATCCATTCTCAGAACACATGACAGTTCCTTTCATATGCGTTTTACAGTTTGTTTTAATGAAAGGTCAGGTACAACTCAACATGCTTGCTCGCTAAATTATGTTTTGTGCTTCTAAATGTTGTTATTAAAATTGGCGTTAAGTCTTTCGAATACGACAATGAAACAAGGTTCCAAGGTCCCGTGTTGTACAGGCTATAGACTATAAACCTCTGATGTCTGTAGTAATACTATAAATATGATGTTTGTAGTATATACCTCTTTCAATAGGATATGTATAATACATGATGTACTACTGTCAATATGATGTTTGTAGTAAATCATATAACACTATGATGTTGGTAGTAAATCATGTGACACTTTCACTATGATGTTTTATTAAATGCAGTAAAACGTGGAACAACTGTCAATATTATGTTTGTAGTAAATCTTACATAACTCCCAATATGATCTTTGTAGTAAATCATAGTACACACTATCAATATGGTGTTTGAAATAAAAATAATTATGTTGGCACAAGAAAAGAAACTTGACAATTTATATCTTTTCTTTTTATTTTCCTTACAAATATATACAATAATTTACATTAATATATACATGCAAGTAATTCATATATAACTTGTAGTTGTACAGTACCAAGTTAATATTTGAACAGTTTAATGTTGCTATCTTTCACCAATCTATGATAAATTGCCTAGATGCACTTCAAAGCTAATATCTGTAGATCCTTTATATAAAAGTCTGTTGCTGGAGTTCTCGCTTTACACTCAGGAATTGCCACATTCTGTTTATGTCATGACAGAACATATTGTCTAGAAATGACAAACAAACAACTTGAGTCCATTTTGGATGAAATGAAAGATTGTTTGGTTCTCACCAAGAGCTAAAATTTCCAAACCCACTAGCAGTTGGTTTAGGTTTCTTGTTAGATTTGGATTCTTCGACAATAACATCACCACCTCGTTTTCTGAAGAAGAAAAAAAAATCCTGAGTTTTATTATACAAAATGTTTTAACAGTTATCATTGTCATCATCATGTGAAATGAGTATACCATTTCCAACTGTATTGGAATCTAGAGCAGCCAGCATACTAAAAGCTGTTGTCATTTCAAACCCTTTGTTTTGACAAAACGAATACTTTGTAAATTTGACTGATTATGCAGATAAAGTCTATTAAATTTCAGACAAAGATTAGGTTGTGCTGATTCTTTTTCACTATATATATCACAAATAGATGGAGATTAACAGGGAGTGAGAATCACAACTGAGTGAATTACCGACTTCGCCAACAATATTTTAGAAAGAATTAATCACAACAGACCATACTATCCAACTGATTGTTGTAAATGTTCCCAATATTATGGTGTCTACTGTATGCTAACTTGTTGATCTTTACGACTGGTAGGGGTGCCTATTTTTATATTTTTTTACAGATTTACTTAGAGTGTTTACAGAGAGTAGAAAGGGTGACTATATTTGCAATTGTATGGTAATAAAAACTTACAAAGATGTATTACTGATATATTTTCCAACTCCTGATTTAAAAACTTTCAATTCTTCAGTAGCAGGCTTCTTTACTGTCCTTTTCTTCTGTTTTTCTACTTCTGCTAGATCTTTAGCTTCCTCATCTTCTCTTTCTTTCTTCAACTAAAAAAAACAAATACAAAAAGTTATAGAAAGAGAGAAATAGAACTTAATTTAGATTATGATAGCTTTTTACTTATTTCATTGATTTATTCTTTGTAATTCCTTCACCGATTAAAAATAAACACTGTCTTCAAATCAAGTTCAGAAAATTTTAGCCTGTTACCTGATAGATTATATAACCCTAAATTTTGCCATTCATTCAAAGCTTTATCCTCATATTTTTACAGTGATAGCAAAGCTTTGAATGAACAGAGCATTTGATTGGTTAAATTGGTGAACATGCATTTCTTTATAATGTTTAAAGATTTAGAATCAGGTAAAATATTCTGTTTGTAAGAGATATAGAAATAGTCATAGGTAAAGAAGCACAAGATTTATGGATATACTATTTCTGTATTTATTAACTCAACGTTTCACAGGCTCCTACAGACTGCGTTATCAAGAGAAATGACCAAAAGACTAAAAACAAGGTAAGATATCCATTTTTTGTTGACATACCTGTTCATCTGCCTCATCAAATGGGTTGACAAAAACTACACATGATTCTATTTTTATTTCTCTCTGGAAAAAGAAAACAAAGCAT